CACCTTGAAGATTTTGGCTATGTTCTCCATCCCGAGCAGCTCCGTTATCAGTTAGCCATCTGGAGAGGCCATCTAAAGGCAGATGGGCCGGGTTGATCTGTCTGACTTCATAGATAGAAGAGCCATTTAGTGTTTGCCAACGAGATAACTAGGAGTTAAATCTTTCACATTAAATCTATAAAAGGATTTCATGGAATATTGGCCAGAGGAGAAGTAGGTCAAATCTGCGTCAAAAGAAATCTTCCTCAAAAGTCTGGTGCCATGACCTGTACATCAACATTGCCACAATATCTTGAATTGTTGTCTAGATTTCCAAAGATTTCATTAAAAAAAAGAAAGAAATCAACATGAATATCCCAAGGGTGCTTTTCCAAAAGGCAACTAGACTTTGTGTGTGTGTGTGTGTGTGTGTGTGTGTGTGTGTTTCTTTGAAAAAAGGAGAGGGGAAACAGGGTCACAGTTGGGCTGTAAATCACATGGAGCAGAGCTAATTCCGCTCGGGTATGTGCTGACATGTTGCTCCTAGTAAATAACTGGATGTCTTTTGAAACTTGGCTCGCGGCTCATGAATTAATTAGGGCATCCCTTCTCATCCAAGAAGCTTCTTCCGCTCAGAACTGAAGAAGCATCTTGAATGGGAAGCGAAACGTTTTCAAAGAAAAAAAGCATAATAAAGCCCAGTTGCCTCTTGAGAAAAGCATCATTGGGATAACCAACCGTAAGGTGGATGATTGAGAATCTCCAGAGACAAATCTGTCTGAAAAATGTAAGGACCTCAAATACTTCTCTGTAGGTTAGAAGCAGGAAGCAGAGAACACTACTGTGAAGTCTTCCTTTCTGTCTTCTCCAGCAATTGAGCTCCACGGTTCAGTGGTGGGATGCAACCAGTTTAACAACTGGTTCGGTGAGCGCGTGCACGCACAATTTGCACACACGTGCGTGCAACGTTCAAATACCACCACATTTTAAACTTAAAAACTTCTCTTCTATGTCAGCGCTGGTGAGTAAAACAGCTGACGCATGGCAATTGGCTGTGCTGTGCGAATCAGCGGAGCTTAAAAATACAGCGAAATATAGGACAGGAAAGAGCAGTGGGGGAGCAACTGCTCACCAGAAGTAGCGGTTCGCCCGAACCAGCTGAATCCCACCTCTGATTCTGTTGCTTGATGATTGGAGACAAAATACAGCTATTTGGATTAGTACTGAATCCTCCAGAGGTTGATCTAATCTTTTTTTTCAAGCTGCCCAGATTGGCATCTGTCAGCACCCGTATTTAACTAGGTAGCTGTGTGAAGAATGGCCTTCTTCCTGTCTTGAATCTGTCACTATTCAACTATATCGATCTTTAGGGAAGACTGTTCAAATTAAACTGAATTCTTCTGGCTTCCACTACATAAAACTGTTATCAAAAATATCTCTTCTCTCCCCCCCCCTCCGTCGTAGTGCTATAGGTAGGTGACCCAGAGGCAAAAATTCTGCTCTTAAGGCAGGAGAAAACTGTGGGACACACATGGACACACATACAAATTCACCGTTTCCATCTTGTCACCTCTTTGATAAACAATGTGAAGTGGAGATTTGGGCATTTTAATTGATTCGGGCCAGAACTGCCCATCAAGTTTCTGGAATGCTGAAGGAGCTGATCCTTTAAATAAATTTGTGGCTATTCCCTCAACAGGCAATTTCTCTTTCAGACTTGGCCAAGCTCCAGCTAAAGTCAGAATTCAGGGGTTGCAGAGTGCCATTTCTCTGCTAATACCGCCAAGCTGCTAAACCTGAAAAGACGCATAGTGCAGAATGGCGGAAAGTAAATTGGAAGGGCCGGCTAGAATAATAGAGTCCAATAATTCGGAGAATGGCTTATTAGAATCCCATTTTTTTTTTAGCCGTAAGAACTTCCTGCTGCCCTACAAGCCATCAGGAATACACTTCCCCGTCCTTCTGTTTTCTGTTTAATCCCACTTCGGCAATCCTGAGGACTGGCTACTCAACTGCAAAATGAAAACTTTGGAGCATCAGACCTTATTTGCAGACTTCAAAAACGAAAAACCCAAAAAAAAAAAAAAAGACGAGTTTGTGTATACTCTGTGTGGCATCCAGATGCAGTCCTGTTTTTAATTTTCCACTAATTAGCCAATTAAGGCTGCTCATAATCTTGTCTCTTTGCTGGAGTCTCGAGGAGGATTCCTTCCATTTCGTCGTTCTCCAGGCCTCTCATCCAGCTTTGAAACATTATCTCTCCGTGTCCTGATTTCTTCCCGACCTTCATTCGGGGGCCCAGACTGTCTGAGAAAAGGCCAGTGCCTCGTCTTGCAGATGGTATGTCCCTGGGGAGGGGGACCGAAGAGGGGTTGGGGAGCAGCTGGCTTCCTCGCAGCCAAGCCCAGGTAGGGAATCTATAGGAGGAGAATCCTTTCCTTCCGATCAAGGATGAAAGATGCCTCTGGGCGACTGGCTACACATTCCTGTATTGCCTCCTGCATGGAGACAAATCCAAACCGTTTCCGTGAGCTTGTTTGTTCTTGTCCTTCTTCTCTTTCATAAAGGAGGCCCTTGGAAACGGGCGGCTCTTCCCAAACACATGTGGCCAGCCAGCGCTTAAACGGCTCTTCCAGAACTGCCCCTTTGATCACAGGTTCTCCGCGTCCAGCTGCTTCCTTTGTCGTAAGCCCAGGGATAGGGCTGAAACAGTGGCCAGAAGCCACCCAATGGCTTAATGATGGGGTTGGAGGCCTGAGAAGCTTCTGGGGAGGAATAATGCTGGTGTCAGGTCTTGGAGCTCGAGACACGTGAGCTGGCAACAGCCAAGACCATGCTGGCTTGGAGGCGGGTTATAAAAACTGACCCATAGGGAAGGTCCTGGATAGTAGGTGCAGGGATGGGATTCTACCGGTTCGGTCAGGTTCCGGCGAACTGGTAGCTCTGATGATCAGCTGGGAATCAACCGGTTCACTCTGACAATCAGATGGGCCCACTCACCCGCCAGCGCTATTTCCCTACCTTTATCTTCTCAGTTTGAATGAACTGGCAGAGAGAAAATGCTTTAAAAAGTTTTGGGGGGGGAAGCTTCTGATGATCGGGTGGCACACAGCTGAGCACTAGATGCAGCTTCAGAGGATACCTTGAAAGAGCACAGCAATTCAGGACTGGAAGGGACCTGGAACTCATCTAGTCCAATCCCCTGCTCCAGCGGGACAGTGTTAAAGTGAGTGTCTGTCTTATATATATANGGTACTTACGACGGTTGCAGCGTCCCTTTCCCGGGGGGGGGGGGGGGAGAAAAGATGTCCCATGATCCCCTATGGCCAGCTTCTGGCAAGCAAAGTCAATGGGGATTCCTTTGCTAACCTAACGGCCGGGGCGATTCACTTAACAACTGCGGCAAGCAAAGTCGTAAAACGGGACCAAGCTCACCGGGCTGTCTCATCCAACAACAGAAATGTTGGGCTCAGTCGTGGTTGTACGTCAAGGACTGTCTAACTTAAAAGAGCAACTTACGGGTATATAAGAGGCGGATGAGGCTACCACGTTTTGAAATTGCGAGTGTTCTGTTAAATAGGAAAGGACGAAAAAGATAAAGACATCTGAGAGATCATGCCCTGTTAAAAAGCCTTATAAAAGAAAAAGTAGTACTTTTTCAGAACTTTAATTGGTATGCCATCTTCTTTTTTAAAAAAAAAAGTATATGACACTGAAATTGCTATGAAGAAAAATTCCTTATTTAATGGGGGGATTTTAGCTGTTTTAATAAGTTAATTGACATTATCTCAGCAGTAATTCCATCTCTGAGTCATACAACGTGTAGCCCTTTTGCGAACTGCTTTTAAAAAGCATGAAAAACATGAGGCTTTCGATCTTTTAGGCAAAAGTTCCTAGATTTATAGAAATCCTTTAGATTTATATCCTCATTTGTACAAATCAGCAATGGAATGTTCCTTCCTCCTTTTGCTAACCCTCTTGAAAAGGAAAAGTGGCCCAGCCTCACTTCGGCCTCCTTGCTTTCTCTCACCAGAGATTAGCACCCCAGGGATGCTGTTCGTTTTTTTGTCATTCTTGTTGTGAGCTTTTCTGTTGCGCCGTTCTGTCATCGCTGTGCAAACGCATTTCATCCTGCTATGATCAATAGGATTGCAACCCTTCCTGTCCATCAAGGCAATGTTCATTCATATCCAGCGCTAGTTTTGGGTCTAGCATTTTTATCTCAAATCACAGTTTGCACATTATGGATATTATGATCTCCCTAATCCTGCCAGGAAGATGCTGAAGGCATCTTACTGGCAGGATTAGCCAGGTAGGTAGGTAGGTAGNACTCTGCTTCTTGCTTGTTAAGGAAGCCTGAGTCAGAACAGCCTGTTCATTTCATATCCTTTTTTAATTCCTTGAATGTATTTTACATACGCCTTTTTCCTGCACCTTTAATGTTTCATGCAGATGCCGCTGAACCTCACCAATGCCGTAGCCACCGCCCGGCAGCTCTTGGCCTACACCGTAGAAGCTGCAAACTTTTCTGACAAAATGGATGTTATTTTTGTGGCTGAAATGATAGAGAAATTTGGACGATTTGCTGAGAAGTATAAAGAGGTAATTAACTTTTAATTCAGACCAAATAATCCTCAAGCCATATTTTCTTGTGAAAGATCCTCCCTCCCCTAACATATAAAAAGGCATCCTTCCCACATCGGCATGTTCGGATGTTGAAGACCACAGCTGCATTTGGCCCTTAGCAAAGGCAGTCACATTGAAAGAGCCTTCAGAATTAAAAGCACCGCATTTCTTTCTTAAAAGTCACTGCTGAAGGCTGGTAGTGCTAAAATTCCACCTTTATACAAGTAGGCTTTAAGGTGATCTAAAATGTATGATGATATGTACGACTGGATAGTTCATTGCAATAAGATTAAAACATTTTTTTTTTGCTGTGATTTATGAAGTCACACAGGAACACTAGCTTGTTACTGTTTTGACAATAGTTAACTCTATAAAAATAACACGGAAATCCAGGGACAAAGACTTTTGATGTACTTTAAAAGGGATAGTCTGTAACACGTTTTAATCTGGCTCAGTGAAAGTGTATTAAAGTCACTTTGCTGAGCTGTAAAAATTAAGTCTACAGATTCTCGATTTAATGTTTCATACTTGTTAACACTAAAACAAGCCGTTTATATGGAAGCAAAAATAAAGGTGGAACAAATAGCTATAATTCCCCCCTCCCCCCCTTGAAATCTGTATTTTTAAATCTGTATGGCAATTTTATCTCCAGCTTCCTACCTTTTTATTGCAATAGCATCTCCAGAGTTACCACAGTGGTATTCTGTGCAATAAAAGTATGTAGTACAAAACATAATATTCTTAGAAAATAGGATCATGCCATGTTAGGAACTTGACTCGGGTTCTATTATTTTTCTAATGATACAAGATTTTTTTCCTGCTATATTGACCAGTCCAATATAAATTCTGGTCACTCCTTGGAATACGGCCTGGATGGCTGATATGATTGTTTTTTGTTAACTTGTAAAAGTATTTTGCTAAATACCAGAAGTCCATGGCACTCGGAGATCTTCAGATATTCTTGGCAAATTACATATTTTCATGTGATGGAAGATGACAATTGTTAAGTACATAACTGAGGAGTAATGACATTAACTGTTTTCTGCATTAAATTTAAAATTTCCATGTAATTCTGGCTCCCTTCGCTAATTCTTTCCAAGAATAGATTCCCTCTATTTATACAAATCTGAAGTACCATCAAAACAGAACAAAAACCAGCTGGAAGACTTAAGTAGGACATTTTGATAAAGAAACTTTTTATAGTGTGCGTTTTGCAGAGTAAAAACATTCACACTCATTGCCCCTGGCATTGCCAATCCAAACCGCGGAAACACTCCGTGCAATGTTTGCCAGACAGTTTTAAAGGCCAAAGGATGCAGGCATAATTCTTGATAAAAAATAATAATAATTCCTGAACAACTTGTTTGTTCCACTTTAGTCAATTAGCAGGGAGGGAAGAACTGCTTTGTCTCCAGGGGGAAATTAATTGTACCTCATGAAATTCAAATGAGATCGAGGGGGGGAGGGGGAAAGTGCAGCACTTAACTTAGTAGTTACAAGTCACACTTAAGCCCAGAGCACCTGGATAACTCCGGGCAACCAAGGATGGCTTAAATTTGCTGGCAGTCTTCAGTTTGAGGGCTCTCTGTTTGTTTTCCTGCAGGCGTCTCATGACCCAAATAGGTAACATCATCAGTGCTAGAAGGGAGTGAGGTTTGCAAAGAGGAGGAAGAGGAGGAGGAGGTATGTGGGATCGTTGGTGCTCTCTGAGCTTGCTTGTTTTCTGGCAGGCGTCTCATGACCCAAATAGGTAACATCATCAGTGCTAGTAAGGAGTGGGGTTTACTCTCGGTTTACATTCTTACCCTGTTAGGGTTGGTTGGTGAGGTGCGCTTAGAGGTTCTTTGCTCGGGCTGTTTGCTGTTGGCTTCTTTGGCAGTTTCTTGAATATAAACTGACAGCAGGCCACACTCCCTCCTAGCGTTGATGATGATGTTCCCTAGTTGGGTCATGAGACGTCTGCCAGAAAACAAGCAAGCTCAGAGAGCACCACGGACCCCTCAGGGTCAATCCTGAGCTACAAATATCCCCCTTTATTGGCCTGCAGTGTAGATTTAGTTTGGTGCTGAAATGGGGAGTCCTTGTTTTCTGTACCAAGAACCTTTTACTGCCCAATAACGTCTGGTGGCCCTTCCCCTCCTTCAGGCAGATGCAGATGGCAGCCTTTTCCCTTTATAGCACGGGGGATCAAATCCAGATTGCGCCATGGTCTTTTCATGCTGACTAAGTAAGCCTGTTGCACTCCTGAGAGGAGTCAAGTTTGGCCTTACCTGGCCCTCTTTCAGAAAAAGAACTCAAGGCACACCTATTCACCCAAGCAATTTACAGGACAGGTCCAGCTACTTTTAACCTTGCCTGGTAATTTCCTTGGGTTTCCCGCTTCTGAAAATGCAGACAACTGAAAATGAAATGATGAAAGAAAAAACCATTTTTTAAAACATGGCTAATTTTATTGGGCTTGTTTTATTTAAACTCCCTTCTCCCTGGTTGACGGGTGGAGAAAACTTGGGCATTCCTAGAATAAACATTTTGCTCAGTCAAACGTCAATGCTTCACACCTTATTCTTCTCCAGGAATAAACAACCGCATTGATGTTTGATTGATTCCCAGCATTCTGAAAAGCTTGATTTGACTAAATTCTAACATATTTGAAAATTTGGCTCCATAGCCTTGTAAGGACTGCCTTTTAACTTTTTTCCCATTGTATGCCTTTTTTAATTAAAAAAAATAAAACCCAACACAATCCGATTACCGTAATTTCTATTTTTGCAAACACAAACGTTGCATTTATGTTATGCTTTTTTTTTGGAGGGTGGGGGAAAACCTACTTATGCATTTTTTTAGGAGTGCACCCAAAAGCTTTCCGTCCAGTATATTATTCAAATGGGCAATTATAACCAACCATTATTAAGAATCACGTTCCATTTGTTGGGAAAGTATTTCCTAATCTATGGCGCAGTAAGTCCTGCTGAAGAATCGATTTTGAGGCCTGGGAAAACCACGTGAACAAAACGTGGGTATAATAAACTGCTGAAGACCTGTTGTTAAAAATGAAATTTGCTGAGTGGACAAAGACAGACTTAAGGTATAAATGGAGCGTGTGACATGACCAAGGGTTAAATTTAGACCCAAGGGAGGGTTTGTCCTTTCTAATTGGTGGATTTGAATGAATGATAATACAAATATGCAAAGTGAAGCTCAAGAAACAGCATCCATTTCTTGAATGGAGAAAGGGGGGGAAGGTAATGAATAAACCTTTGGGAATCTCTGTGCAAAATTGTGTCAAAGCTGAGGCTGACACGTCTTCTGCTCTTCTCCTGCCAGCTGGGGGATGTGATGGTGGACATTGCTAGTAACATCATGCTGGCTGATGAACACATCCTGTGGGTGGCCCAGAGAGAAGCCAAAGCCTGTACCAGAATTGCACAATGCTTACAAAGGATTGCAACCTACCGGCTGGCTAATGGGGCTCAGGTTTACTCGACGGTAAGGACTGACACACTTGTTTGCCATTGGGACCCCCCGCGGATCGAGTCAAAGCTGTGTTTTACTTTCATTGAAATGTTTGAAAAGGGATCGGGATTCTGCCTCTCGGCCTTGTAACACTTCTGAAAAGGAAGCTGAAGGTTGGGGGGGGGGACTGCATTTGGCCTGGCGGGGGCGGAGATAAACTTTCAGAAATGGGACAGATCAAGGCAAGGCTGCATGGGGAATAAGAGCTCTCCTCCCCACACACCTGTGGGAGGGGCACTTGGGTAGCAGCTCCAAATGTTGGTGACTTGGTGGGGTTTCCTTTCTTGAGCATACGATAGCAGTAGCACTTACAGGCCTCTCTTAAACTGCCTACAGAATCAGCCTATTGCCTAGTGCAGTGGTCTCCAACCTTGGCAACTTTAAGACTTGTGGACTTCAACTCCCAGAGTTCCTCAGCCAGCAAAGCTGGCTGAGGAACTCTGGGAGTT